GTGAGAGCACTTATCACACTGTATTGGAATTATTTGTTAATCTGTCTCTCCTCCTAGGCTGAAAAGTCCTGGAGGGCAGAGGCTCTATCTGATTCATTGGTGCAAAAACTGAATGTCTTAGGTGCATGCCACCAAGTGGAGAGGTCATCTTTCTATTAATACTGTAGATTAGCAGGGTGTCAGCGTCCTGTCTCATTGGTGGCAGCCTTGCCTCACCTTCCGACGTCCCTGGCCTCTCCAGTGTTTCTAGGACATCTCATGATGTCCCACGTTCATGACGCTCAGTTGAAACAAGGCTGTGGGGCTGCCTCTGTCTCCCCTTTATCAAGATCTGCACTGAGTTCTGGCTGTCGTCTACCCAACAGGTCAGAGCTATTCACCCACCTTGGGACAGCGTTGTTACCACTGTTCTGGCATGCGGGTGTGGGTGTGATGGCCAGGCTTCCTTTCCCCTACATGGAAGATACTGTGGCAGAAATGAGAGAGGGAGAGAGTGGTATAAAATGGAAAGGAATTTGGAGAGGCAGGTGGGACTAGACCATGGAGATGCTTGTAGACTTGGAAAGGAGTCTGCTTTTTAGTGGAAATGCGGTGGGAGATATTACTAAAAGAGGATCATAATTTGAAACATGTTCTTTAAAAGATTACTCTGATTGCTGAAAGACTAGTGGAATTGTTCAGCAGTGTGTCAAGTGGGGAAACTCCTGGAATAGCCTCATAAGATGGGGGCGGAAGTACGGAGGGCCAGGGATAGGTGAGCATGGGAGATGAAACTGATGCAACTTGCCGACTGGTTATGGAGGCAGGAGAGAAGGGAAGATCACAATTTGACTCCCAGTTTTTCAGTTGAGCTAATGAGTGGGCAAAGGCATCAGTTCCTTAGAAGGAAGATGTTGGTGAAGGAATAGGTTTGGGGTTTTAGACCTTCAAATTGAGATGCTTCTTGGGTATCCGAGCGACCATGTTAGGAAGGCAGTGGATATGTAAGTTTTGAGTTTAAGGAAAAGGTAAGGGCTAGAGATATGAATTTAGGAGACATCAAAATACAGATGGTAGTTAAAGCCCCAACACTGATGAGATTAAAGAGGGAGAGAGTGTAGCTATGAAAGAAAACACTGCAACCAAGTCCTGATGTCACTGAACTTGGTGGAAGGACAAGAGCCAGAAGAGAAATTTGAATGAGACAGTCCAGCAACAGAGGGAGGAAAATCAAAAAAGAGTGGTATTTTAGAACCTGAGAGGGCAATGATGTAAAGTAATTAGCCTCCAACTAATAAAAATAAATGGAAAAAAAAAATAGAACCTGAGGGGAGAGAACATTAAGAGAGGAGGATCTCAAGTGGAAAGTGGGAAACTCGAATGAGAAGACAGAAATGTACATTGTTTTCCTCTTTAGCTTGGCTCAGTACTCTTTCCAAGATGTCATCACAGAGTTGAAGGCACTGGGAATATACCCAGTGGGGCTGGCGCATTGGAAGACAGTATTCTAACATGGGTGAATTTCCTAAGATGTGTTTTATCTGGTCTTAAATAATCCAATGTTCAGGACACCCACATCCTGATACATCCTGAACCGCAAAGAACCCTCTTCACAGCCTCTTTCTTTTATCCTAAAGTTAGGATCACGCCTGAATGTCCTTCTCTCCTCAAGAGGAACAAAGATTCATTGGCACAGGGTACCCCAGCTCTATATAAAGAAAAGGCATATTCCTGTCACTCAATCTCTAAAAAAAAAAAAAAAATGAAAAGAACGACCACAAAAGAAAAAAATCAACAAAAGCTTTGGCTCAACCAGAGGTAAAAATTTACAATTAGAGAAGGCTTTTGTTCTCATTCTAAAACATGGCATTGCTGTCATTTCACAGTGTTAGTGCTGAATAATGGATGGATGTTTGCTTTGCATTGGGGTAATTAAAGAGTCCACCCAGGTTGTTTGTTCCAAACATGGAAACAGTCGTACTGAGAGGTGACTGAATTTGAGTCTCTAACTCTTTTGTTGACTTTTCAAAATGCAGTTTTAAACCAAGTTATTTCCTCAAGGGCTAAGATAGCGCCTGGAGTCTATTATGTGAGCAGCCACTATTTGTTGCACGAATGAATGAATGGAGGAGGAGCCAAGTGATAAAGTGGGGAGAACACTTGATTTTAAAAGATCCGGGTTCGTGGGAAGGTCATTTATACTCTGCACCTGAACTTTCCCCCAGGTGTCACCTTAAATCCAGGAGTTTTAAAGTGATGTGTTGAAACACAGTTCAATAAGCAAAAATAATTAAAACAAATTTTATTAATTTGCAACCCCATGGACTGAGGAGCCTGGATTTTCCAGGCAAGAATACTGGAGTGGGTTGCCATTTCCTTCTCCAGGAGATCTTTCCCAACCCAGGGATCGAACCCGGGTCTCCTGCATTGTAGGCAGACGCTTTACCGTCTGAGCCACCAGGGAATCCCCAAGATAAAGTTAAAGGAGCTCCAAATACACTGTCCATAAAATATGTTAAAATATCCCTCCCACCTCATGGCTGCTCCAGAGTCTCTCTCCTTAACTTCCTTTCCAAGGACCTCTCCTCCATCCTCCCAACTGTAGCTGTTAAAACTTTCTTTCACCCCAGCTTGCTTAACCCCAGCACAGCAACATGTGTCTCTTTCTAGAAAGGATGCTACATCTTTAGGAGGTGAAAGGAAAGGAAAAATTGGGCTTCAACATAGAGGATGATATCACCAACTCAGTGGACATGAGTCTGAGCAAACTCTGGGAGAAAGTGAAGGACAAGGAAGCCTAGTGTGCTGCAGTCCACAGGGTTGCAGAGAGTCGGACACCACTTGGTGAGTGAACAACATAGAGAATTATCTTTGGTGGTCCAGAAGAGTAGGTAAGTCCTAGAAGAGTCTCACATTAATAGTTTTTGCACCATCGCATATGCAAAATGAGAAAAACAGTATCTGTTCTCTGGAATTGTTGAGGAGATTAAATGAGATAAATACAAGTAACTGTAAACTCCCCATAGCTATGTGGCGTTCTGATTGTCTGTGACGCATAAAGGTTATTTATTAATAGTATCCTAAGTGCAACTTCTTTGATCTTATTCTCACAAAAGACAAGGTTTATCTTTACAATAAACATATATCTGCTTTCCTTTTACAAAATAAGTTTCTAAACAAATAAAAAGCAAATCAATGCTCTTATTTTTTAATAAGTACAAGAAACAGCTAGAAGTAGCTTTAGGTGCATTGTTAGGTTTTTTAGTGTCAGCTGTGTACATAGCACAGTTTAGAGTATGCATATCTGTGCTATTATCATCCATTTAAAAATAATTTGTTACCATGTGAACTTTTTTAATATATACACAGTACCTTCAATGAACTAGTGGTTTAAAGGGACCAGATTCAAGAAGTTTCATTAGAATTTTAATGATAAATATCTGGAAATGACAGTTTTTTTTCTTTTCCAAGTGAGAGTTCATGTTTGTTTGTTTCAAAATCACTGATTTCCTGAGTATTGTTGATTCTCAGAATAGAATAGAAAATCTGATCAATTTTGTTTTATTTCTTTATCTTTGCACAATAAATTCTTCTGAGTTAAATCAATAGACCTTTGTTAAACTGCAGTTTCTGTGGTTCAGGTATGAGGGAGTGGAAAGGCTGGGTGGTTCTGGCTTGAAGACTTCTGTAGGGCTGCAGTTACACGATCAGCCAGGGTTTCTATCATCTGAAGGCTTACCTGGTGCCGGAGGGCCCACTGACTCATATGACTGTAGTGACTCAGTTCGTCACTACATTGACCTCTCCATGGAGTGCTTCCACGTCCTCACGACATGGCAGCTGGTTTCTCCCAGAGAGAGTGATCAGAGAGACAGGAAAAAGCCACACTTCCTTTTCCATCCTAATCTTGGGGGGCCATACATTGTCACTTCTTCCGTGTTCTATTGATGAAAAGTCAGTTTGCTAAGTACAGCGCAGTCTAAAGGGAAGGAGAATTAGACTCTACTCTTTGAACAGAAGTGTATCAGAGAAACGTGTGGACATATTTTAAAACCAACACAAATTCTTTGGCATAAATTGCATGTTTACTGCTTATATTCCAAGCAAAATATGGGTTTTTCACAGTAGGGGTAGCTGCTTACATTATTGGATTCTCAGAACACAGTGTATGTATCTCTTTATTGGTTATGGAGAAATTGGGTTCAGAGGCCCAAGTAGCTTCTTCCAGGTAGAGAAAAGTTCAGTGTCTGAATCTAGACTTGGATCCAGATTTTCTGATATACAATTCCATGTGTGGTCAGATCACATCTAAATAATGATAGCAAAAACAGGACTCTTTGGCTATCCTGTAATTTACTTTTCCAACTTTTGTCTACTTACATGATCTCAAACATCTGGATTTAAATTGGAAACATTTCATTAAAAATCCAAATGTTTCCAAATATAGTAAAAAAAAAAAAAAAGAAAGAAAAAAAAGCTACCCAAACCCTTGGTAAATGAGTAATTCTGCATGTTGAATGGCTATCTTGTTTAACACTTAATCCCCCTCCCCAATGTATATTATTCTATGTGGAAAGTTTCTAATGTAATCAAATGTTAAACTGGAAGTCTGGACTGAGGCAAAAGGTATCACAGATATCAGATAGCAAAGCAGGTGTGCAGCAGGGCATCCAGATACAAATGCAGAAAGGAAACATCTGGAAACTTACTGCACGACTTCTGGGCCCATCTTCCAGAAGCCCCTCACCCAGCCTGTGGTGAAGTGTCTACTGATCTTATGAGGAGAATTTTAGAATAAGGCAACCAGTGCCCTGAAATCAAGGAAGAGCTTCCATGGGATCAGTGTTGGTAAGCGGACTCCGCAGGCAGAAGGCACAAGGAACTGGAGCCTGTCTCCTTGCCTAAGAAAGCCAGAAGGGTCATGGAGATTTCCTGAAGATTCGTCCAGCAACAGTGAAATCATTATCCTAAAGAACAGGTTTAAAGAAATAGTGGAAAATAAAAATAAAGGTCTTTTGTGTTAATGATTAACTGTTCCTCTTGCATCCTCTGTGTTTAACATAAGGTGCCATTAAAATAGACCGCAGGTGTCTCCTGTCTTTTAAAAAACAACACACAGGGAGTTATTAAGAAAGGGTTAAGTTAGTTTCAGTGTTACCTTGATTAATGCAATAATGAAAGAAACATGGACTTGTACACTGTGATGCCTTTAAGGAAATCAGTACAATGGCGCCTCCGAGGTTTGTGGTGATGTGTGGAGGTATTTACTTCGAATTCATCATTTGTATAGGTTTGTTTCCAGGTTTCCTGCCACCTCGTTTTGGTTGCTGTATCGTCTGTTGTCATTTCTCAGTTTTCCGTGCGTCTCTCTGTTTATACCCTTCTCTTCTTTAAAATGGCAGTCGGCGGTGCTCACCAAAGTTCCATGCAGAGAAAGCTGATGGAGAAGCATGGATAAAGGAGTTCTGATTCAGCTTATACATTAGCTAAACAACAAAGGTGTGTACACATGAGGTGTTCACGGATGCTAAGTATTTGTTGAATAAACTTGCCTTTATCTTTAGTAGGGTTTTTCTCTACATAATTTTCATTAATTAATGGATTCAGAAAGGGTCTGTATTGAGTCCCTACTGCATGCCAGATGCTAAGTTTGTATCACTTGGTCAACTGCTCCTCTTCAGGTTTCTATATTCAGTGCTAAACTTTGTGTTAGGTAACTGGGACCAAGAAATGGATTTTCTGTGTCTTCTGAAAATGGCAAATCTTGTATGTCACTTAGATGGATTTAGCAGATGGGGGGTGAATTCTCATCCCACAAATAACAGAGAATTTGCTATGTGATCTGTTAGTAATAAAACTAAACACTTTAATGTGATGTTTTAATCCTCCTGTTTGCTTTATTAGCTATCTTTATATTGTACTTTCACAGCAACCTTCTAAGTTAAGACAGCTAGTCTGAGCTCTGTCACATGTGAGGTCAAAAGTCCTAATGACCAAATCAGGGCTAGAGCCAGTATTTATTTTTTGAAATCCAGACTTTTCCCTCTTAACTCAGGGCTCTAGTGTCCATTTCTCCGTGGTTTAATTTCTTCTTATGTTGAATTGGGCTGATTTTGATGCAATGCAGATTGAGTATTTGGAGCTGTGACTGGACATCCTTGTAGCAAAACGGTTTACCCTGAGCTTGAACAGTGTCGCCAGTCCACCTGTTTTGGAGTCTATATATTTCTGATCTTCTGCTTTGTTTAATAAGTGAGTTGGGATACCAGAAATGGAATTGGAGTTCAAGAGTGGTTTTCATGCATCAAGTCCTTGGCATAGGGTCCCTGGGAGCAAACCTCTGCCCTTTAAATGCCAAGAGGCTGAAGGAAAGTCCTGCTGCCAAAGGCTAGAAGCTTTGGGAGGACCTAATCCTCCCCAGTGGGTCTCTGGAAATGCCTCTTGAGACAAAAGGGAAGGACTGAGGCTGGTGAAGGCGCAGGGTGTCCTGACAACTTCCATGGCAGAGTGAAGCCACAGGGAAAAGAGAATTTGCTAAATAAACTGTAGTTCATCTGGACAATGGGATTATTCAGTGCTAAAAGGAAACAAGCTATCAAGCCACAAAAAGACATGAAAAACTTAAACATATATTACTAAGTGAGAGATGCCCAACTGAGAAGGTTCCATCCCACACAGTTCCAACTATATGACAGTCTAGAAAAGGCAAAACTATGGAGACAGTAAAAAAGATCAGTGGTTGCCAGAGTTAAGAAGGCTCGAGGGATGAACCAGCGTTGCACAGAGGATTTTTCAGGCAGCCCAAGTACCCTGTGTGATACTGTAGCAGTGGATACACGTCATCATGTTTTGTCCAAACTCAGGGGCTGAACACCACCAAGTGTGAACCGGCGTGTGAACGATGGACATGAGGACTGTGGTGATACTGGTGTGCCAGTGCAGGTCCATCGGTCCTGATGGGGATGTAAGTAATGGGAAGGGGACTGCGCATGTGTGGGGGCTGGGGGTCACTGGGAAACCTCTGTACCCTCCTCTCACTTTTCCTGTGAATCTAAAGCTGTTTAAAAACTCAAAGTCTTTTAAGGAGAGAAAGAGAGAAAATTTGCTGCCCTGACGGTGCTCCCCTCTTCCAGAAGCTTGGATTCTGGTCAGGGAACTGTCAGGCTCCCCTTTCTGGTCAGCATGGGACCAGCAAGCCTTCGAGACTGAAACACATCGAAGATTTGCAGCCAGCTCCGGCATCTCCCTCATTGCACATATTGTGTGGGGACAATGGTCTGATCAAATGTTTCCTAATTTCATTGTGGACTTCCTCTCTAATGAGTCTCTTTCTCCCAGCTCTAAATAAAGAAGATGCTAAAAACGTGACGCACACTACAGATGGGTCACCCACATCTGGGCTTTTCATTTCACAAGGCAGGGGTGGGGGTGGGGGGGAAAAGTGGAGCAAGACGTGGCTGGCTTTTCTTGTAAAAGGGGTGAATGGGGGAAGGGGGCCCCTGAGATGAGGGAGCGAGGCCGAATCATCTAGCATTGTTACTGAACGACAGACGCATCCATTGGGACTAATTACAGTGACGATGCCAGGCCATCACGAACCTAAAGCTTGCGTGCTCTTCTCTATGCCAAGTTCTCAAATCCGGGCACCTGGATTGCACCTATGAAGTTGGCATTTACCAAAGAAACCATGTGCAGATGGCTATTTGCATGTGAAAACCCGGGCAATTGTGTGTGTGAGAGAGCAGGGGCTGCTGTGCTCAATTATCAGCCTCTCCTGAGATGTTGGGGGCGGTTTCTGGTCCCTTGGAAAACTAGCCTGCAATCTGACCATGCGGATTTGAGTTCTGTGCATGTGTGAGCCATGAGCCCAGGTTTCAGAGACGTGGCTCTGATGCGTCCTTACGTACGCGTTGACCATCCACGATGTGCCCCGCCCTGCTATAGCAGGTCTGAAGCTCACAGGGTCCCCTTGATGGACCCGGATCCCCAGGTCCCACTTCCCCTACACCCATCCCCCAAGGCACAGTGGTGGGAGAGGGTGGAGTTTGTTTGAGGAGCTGCAAACCAATGAATTCCCTTGAGCCCTGGGTCTGCATGGTTTTGTAGCAGAATCATGCAGAATCATTTCTCCTGGGAGAAACTGAGACTCCAGGGGTGAAGTCAAATCTGTGACAGAGTGGGCTTCGAGCCAGACCGACCTCTTGCGCTGTCGTATCCTCTGCTATCTCCCCGGGGTGCTCAGTGAAAGAAGGTGGGGGCCGAGGACTAAGATGTCCATCTGTTATCATTCATCTGTACAAGGGGGTCCCCCCTTTTTTGCGTGAGCCGCACTGGGTCCTGGGAGAAGGACTATCCCAGCCTTGGAGGTGTATGTGTGGCTTCCCCAGCCCGTGCTTCCTGTGGTCAGCTTGGAGGGTCACAGAAGCACTAGGGGCCACGTGGGGTCTGTCCGTCTCCTGCCTCAGACTGGACCGTGCCTGCGGCCGACCCCTTAGCCCGGCATGCTCCTGTCTGTCTCCTTACCTACACGTGCCCTACCTTTCCTTCAGGCTCAGATCAAGGTGCGCCTCTTCCTGAGAACACTGCCCCATGAGGTGGGTAGGTGCCCTGTCTCAACTATATGGATGAGGATTGGGCCGCAGAGAGGTTAGATGACTAACCGAAAATCGTAGAGTCAGTAAGAGACAGAGCTGTGATCTGAACACTGGCAGACTGGCTCCCAAACAGCACTCCTAACCTTTACACATGCAACTGCCCCCATTAGAACAGTCTATCTTTTATATTAAAAAAAAAACACCAAATCTTTAAGGCCTCCTTGTAGTCTTAGAGGAGACTGTTGTGGAGCTGGGCACACAATGAACTTGGTAGATTTTCCATACAGATAAAGAGTATGTCCTGACCCTGGAAGGACCCCTCCCAGCCTGAGGCTGAAGATGCATTTTGATGGTTTTGTAACAGGGCTGGAGGAATGCAGCTGACACTGGGAGGGATGGGGGACTCTGGGCCTTGTAGCATTTTTATGCCACCAACTGGCTTCGGACCCTCTTCCAGCCCAAAGCAGCGCTCCTCAGAGGGGCAGTGAGGCCCAAGGGGAAAGTCACATCATTCGTGCTCCGGTGCAAGGGCTGTCACAGAGCCACACGTTCTGTCGCCGGGTGTGGTGGAACCCTGAGATGGATTATCTACCGCAGCTCCGGGTTTTCTCCTAAGATCCCACTCAGCGTCCTGTGGTCTCCTTTGCCCCCTCTGCCGAAGCTCCACTTCCCTCTCCTTCAGAAGCTGCCACCCTAATACCCTCCAAAGACAAACGCAAAAGAGCTTTTCGTTTGTAAGGCTCTTTGCTACTGATCACAAAAGGAAAGTAGTAACTGAAAAAAAATTACCAAGATGAAGAAGTTAGTAGCTCAACTTCTTATGAAGTTCTTATTGTCTTGATCCCTTGGATATAGTTTTAAACTCCCTCTAGGTTCATGAGAGGAAACCTCAAAGGTAATTTTTGTCCCCTTCTGAAGGTGGACTTGCTGAACCTTCCCACTGTCTGCTGATTCCTCCTTTAGCCCTGTTACAGCGATCGAGTCCTCCCTGATACGTTCCCATCCCGAACCTGCACTCTGTCTCTTAGGTTCCGGTAGGTGTAAGACTTTTATGAAGACCTCTATGTTCTTCTGATGACTGCTGTAAGTGACTGTTGCTTCTCTGGGTCTTTTCCTGAACTCACACAAGGCCCCTCCGGGGGCAAGAACTGTCCTTCCGCTCTTCTGTCTTCCTGCTTGCTGATGGGCTTTATTGCCCAGATCTTATTGTCTACACAGCAATGTAGAAATAGTTTATGGCTTGACTTGGCACTTTACCATTGAAAAGTACCTAATTCTCTGCTAATAAATTAACACTTTTATCCTTAACCATGAACCATGGGGCTTTAGGGAGAAGTCTTTTTGTATTTAAAAACCACATCTAGTAGATGTTAGCAAATGCAGAAGTAAACGAGTTGGTTGAGCCAATCTGACTGGGACAAATGTCTGCTTGGAAATGACATCCTAGGTTATGCTGGCGTGAGTAAGGAAGTGAGGAATTCCTGGGGTGGAATGAGACCTGGAGATAGACGTGGAGGTGCATGAAGAGGACATTCAAAATGTTCTTCTCGTATTCGCATAGTTCAATGGACATTGGTGATTTGGTGCCAAAAGAGCAGAGAGATGCAGCTGGGAAGAGGTAAGAAAGTGGAAAGTAGGGGAAGAGGAGTTGGAGGAGGGGGCAACCAGTTCTGAGAGGCAAGGCTAGAGCCCAGAGCATCGTGCACAGGTCGGGAGAGGCTGGATGCGACGAGACAGGAGAGAGGGGGAGATGACTAAAGAATGAGCAGAGCCTAAAAGCATGTCAAGTGAAAGCCAGGAGCCGTGTGAGGGGAATATCAGCCCCAAGATTCGCCCTCCCTTCAGTATGGGTGGCCTTTTCCCGTTCTCCTGTCTGCACTTCCTCAGGCAGTCGTGAATGATGAGGCCACCCATTGGAAGCAGTATGTCTCTGAGACCTCGGTTATTGTTCCACTCTTTTCCCAGCTAAGTGATTCCTTCATGACATGGGGCAGAGGGTTGTAGGAACCGTTTCCAGCAGACCACCACTAGCTTCTCATGGCAGGAGCTGCCCTGGAAAGGTACAAGATTCGGAGTAGATTAAGATAACAATGATCATCATTTTGGCAATGGAGGATCGCATATATAAGACACTAAAAACCTTATGGTGGGGCTGGTGATTCATTTTATGGGAATCTGGCATTGATTCAGAAGACAGTGCTTCTGGGCATGTAGCAATGAATTCCGGGACTTAGTTCAACAATTTAAAATACGTGTTCCCCTGTAAAACAATATCAAGACTATATGGAATAATTATAATGTCAACTATTATAACTGGAAGGTGAATTGTTTAAAGTAATCCACTCAGCATGGGCTTCCCTGGTGGCTCAGTCGGTAAAGAACCTGCCAGTAATGCAGGAGACCCAGGTTCTGTCCCTGGGTCAGAAGGATCCACTCCAGTATTCTTGCCTAAAGAATCCCATGGACAGAGGAGCCTGGCAGGCTACAGTCCATGGGGTTGCAAAGTCTTGAGCAACTAACACACACATGCAGTCCACTCAGCAGAGTCTTTAGTGAAGGAAGTGCGCTGCCATCATCTATTGCACAGATGATCATGCAGTACTACAAGAGCCACTTCATGCATTTGTCATTAGTTACATTAGATGTCCAAAAAAGATATGTAAAACCAGTCAAGTACTTGTCCAGTGCCCCTCTCCTTAAGATAGCCCATAGTTTAAATTGGTCCAGTTCTGCTTCACTAGTATTAGCATCTTCCCCAGGATCCTAGAAGGATTCTGTTGCTTGGTCTGACATATCCTGGCCATCTTTTCCACACAAGGGTCCTAGTCTTTATTTTACATTCCAGATTAGTTTCCATGTTGCTATGGATCTCCTAGACTTTATGGCCTGTGTTGGATAGGTCACCCAGCTCTGGTTCTCTTCTCCCGGAGTCTCTCCTCCTAGGATGCTGGGACACTCATCTCAGAATGTACTCCCTCTTAATACTCTTCTTGAATCAAAGAAATGGAAACTTACTTCTCTCTGAGCAAGGTGACACCAGCTCCTGTGGGGAAGCCCATGAAAGTTGCTTTTAAAATTTTTATTGTAGAAAAGAATAGGATGCATTTAGTTTAAAATTCAGATGTAACACTTACTGCCCAGAGCCCTCAGCTGGGAGCCCTTTTCCATCTTCAAATCCAGCAATGGTGGATTGACTTTTTCTCACACTGCCTCACTCTGACCTCTGCTTTCATCATCATATCTCCTCCGACGCTGGTCCTTCTGCTTCCCTCTCCCACATGGGATCACATTGGGCCCAGCCAGATCCTCCAGGAGAATCTACAGATTTCAAGATTAACTTGTTCACATCTGCAAGTCTCTTTCGCCATGC